TTAGGGTTCCGTACCCAAAGGGTAAAAACGAGAACCCTATTACTAAGACCCTAAACTAAGAACCCTAAACACGCGCTGCCGCCGTGGGATGCCGCCTTAAGAATTTTACATAGAATCTTTCAAGTCCTCGGTGGCTGCGTGGTTTAAAGCGTTAGGACCATACCCAAGAAGCATTTTTTGTTTTATAAGTGTGTTAGGAAACTACCCAACACCATATTATACAACCTAAACGCATCTAGAATGGTTGTCGTGAGTTATTGGTAACCATTATATAACACTTATATGCCCTAAACGGTCCATTTTATAACTGTTCCTATAGTAACTTTCTCAACACCTTTATATATCCTATCGAGTTACCGCTATAAAACTGAAAAAGTGTATATATTAGTTATATAGTGGTGTTGAGAAGGTTCCCAGAGACTACCTCCATAGAAATATCACGCATGCGCGTTTTTTGAAAATATACTTGTTTCTTTCTGACTAACTACTTTAATATTTGCCTCTTTTTTTAACATAAAAAGCAGAAATGATCTTATTGCTCCAAGTTGTCCTACGCAGATAATCCAGACCAGAAACAAAAGAGACAAAATAACGCCATCCCTGTCATAGCCTGCAAAAGCGTTTGCGTTATGCAAATGACTTTATAGAAATTACTGGCTTAATAAAATCTATTGTGCCTAGCCAGAGTACTAAGCACATTTGCGATATTAAATTTACTGTGTGAAAATCAATTTTACCTCCAAAAAACACATGCGCCCCCAAAGCAGAATTATTTAATAGATTTTTTTATAAACAAAAAAAATATGGTAAAATTTTTGTATAATGAAAGTCAAATTTATTAATACAAATAAGAGAACATACGACTTTTTTAATACATAGAAATAACTGGCAACTGGCCAAAATATAGTTTTGTACCAGTTTTCAACGTTATCTTAGAAATACTAATTGTAGCCAAAAATGAAGACATCAATAATAATGGCGTCCATTATATTTAAAGTGCTATATATTACTTTAGGGTCTATAACATACTCATCAACCATTATATAAATTTTGTTACTTAAGGTTGCGTAAATGAGTTTGGGTTATTTAAAACACCAATTTTAGTGTTTTATACAATTAAAGGTGATACAAATCACCATTATAAATGCCGGGGTGTTTATGGCTACTTTTAGTCACCCAGAAAACATTTATGTAACCCGTGGTGTCGACTGTAGCGAGTCCCTGCTAACGAAGTTTGACATTACAGCAATTTGACAGAAAATGTGCAGAAAACAAAACATAACCTCATGAAATTGAAATAATACTGTTTTGGTACAATTTGATCAATATTTAAAGTGGTAGGAGTTTGCAAAAGAGTTCTAGGATCCTTTGGTACTTTGGTAGAACAGTTATGAATGAATTGACTATAGAAAATAGTTCTTTAAGTGTAGAATGTGTAATGTTAAAGCGCAAAGCTCATTCTCTTATATTAGAGAATGCCTTAACCAGGCATCTTCCTGTTCCTGATCGTTTTGGCAACTTTCTGTTGGAAATATCTCAGGTTGATCCTGATCTCTGCTTGTGGATGGTAAATTTGCATGTTGGCTTTCAATATTAGTAGATGCAGTTTGAATGAGGTTTGGATTATTCCTATTTTTTTTAAATTCTGAAGAACCTTTCTCTTGAACGTAGATGTATTTTGGTATTTTGTCCAGTTTATTTTTTATTATTCATTATAATACCGAATTGCTTTGCTTGCTAATATATTATTTGTTTTGATTATATATTAAAAAATTGAGGTTATGTGATTAGGTTTGATATTCGGTTATTAACTACAGGTTATATAAAGCATGCAAACATTTGAAAGGTGCAAAAAAACGATTTCAGGGAACAATTATATAACTTGTAGTATTATTGGTTACATAATGGTTCTTAATAACACCTTTATAAAACCTTACTATGAAACCTTTAGTAATTAGAACCTGTAGTTTTATAAGGAAAGTGATAAACAACATTTCAAGGTTACTATTAGTGATAAGTAACCAACGCTACACTTATATAAATCAAAACACTGTAAGATACCAATAAGACATTTATTAAACCTTTATATAACTAACCGTGAGAATATGTAACCTAAAGGAACTTAAAATGTTACTTTTTACTTTACCCTGCTATGACGTCGGAGCCGTAGTAAGGCAGGTTCGAATCCTAGTCAAAGCGACTTTTTTTTAATCGTTTTTTTTTTAATTTTTACATATTTTTACATATTTATTATTGATTAATACAATTTTTAGTAATGTGTTTCTTCATTTTTTTAAATTACTAATACGCGCATTCAAAATTTCAGCTAAATCGGATAAAAGTTTATAATAATATAGTGTCTAATGTTGTATAGATAATGAATGGTACGGAACCCTTCGTGCGCGAGTCCGACTCGCACTTGACCAATTTTTTTATACTTACAGCTACGAGTTTTAATTGTAAAATTTATATTTTTATGATAAAACCCTTAGACGTGCTCTTTGCCTCCTAGTTGCTCTAAAATAAACAACTTATATTCCTCCAGCAAGCAGAATAGCAGAATTTTTATCTCGTTTAATAAGCCAACAAGACTAATTCGGGCTTATTTATAAGAGGTTCAATGACTCCACCGAGTAGCCAAGAAATTGTCAGCACAGTTAAATGTTTCATTTTAAGGCGAATGGCAGCAGTCCAAATGGACGATCCCTGCTTTATAGCTTTGGCTCTAGTAGTACTTTTGAGAGATGCTTTTGATAATGCCAGAGATAAGGAAGAATTAAAAAAAAAGGATGTCAAATTCATATTTATTAACTGCGTCCAGTTTTGGAGTTCTTGAGTTAGATATTTTTGAAATCTATTCCAAAAGTATTACATAAAGTTATATTGTATACAGGGTGTCCCAATATTCCGTGGACAGAGAACTATTACGTATTTTTGGAATCAAAATAAACTCCATGGGCACAATTTACTCATATACAAAAGTGCTTCGTTTATCCGTTAGAGGGCATCAAACTTAAAAAAAATAAACACATTTTCTCAGATAGATATTTTAAGAACTGTTATTCCAATTTGAATGAGATTTTGGGTGCCTATGTTTTGTTAAGCGCTTCAACGTCTCTTCAAAAATCAATAAAAAGTACGGGAAGGGTTGTAACTGATCTCACACACACCCTAAAACTCATATTTAACAAATAATGATGACGTAATGGTGAACAATGGCTGAACAGTATTTACTTTTGTATCTAATGGTCATATACATATAGATTATACCAATGACTCAAGAATTCAAAGACAAATAACAACCGAGAGCAAATTCTTACGATGTCACGAAACAGTGCCGTGGTACATATCTTTCTTAACTTGGCTGTTTGAAGAGATATACAGGGTGTCCCAGGCTGAGCGTGCATTAGAAGTTTCTAGAGAACCACAATATCTAGATCGGAGATTTTTTGCACACCATTGTTTTACAACGAGATCTATCGATTAAAAATATTTTCAGTATGGCGGCACTTCCGGAAATACAGGAAGTTCACAGCAACTTTCTTATTTTAAATGGGTGCCCCCATTTTTTATTACATACTTAAATTCTCTGTTAAATTCTATAAATATTGATATTAAACACTCTATACCTAACATTAACCGTTTTTTGAGAAAAAAAATATTTAAAATTTTTGGACGAAAAAAACTACCTGTCAAACAAATTTGTATAGCCTAAAAGTCAAATTTAGGGATTACCACAGCCACTATGACATAAAGAAAAAACATGTGGCTATCTATTTAAAAAAATTAATTGTTCAAATGTTATATAATAATGGCGGTAGCTGTCATGGAATTGAGCGATTAAAAAATTTTCATAAATCATTTTTTTCAAATGGAAACCCACTTTTTTTGTTCCACTAGTGTACGGAGTGTAGAGGTAAGGAGAAACAACTCCGTGCATTAAAAAATGGTCAAAAAAAGGGAAGAATTAGGATGGCGCTGCTGTAGCAAAAACCTAAAATTTAAGACATGCGCCGAACATTTTTAGAACAGCTGATTCAAAAGACATAAATATTTGACGTGAATCATATACGTGAAGCCGCGGGTTTCAAAAAAATACAAATTTATTTTCATGTCACATGAAATAAATTACAGATTTTTATTCAGCAGCAATAGACTAGGCTCTTTTTTTATTGCTCTCATAAGTTATTTCGCAAATGTCATTCAAGACGACGAAAACATTATTCTGATTGTTTTAGCTTAAAATTAATGTTAATTATAATTAAGAAAAAATTATTTAAAGTAATAATTGGTGATGGGTTTAAAATAAATATAATGCAGCTTTAAAATAACTTCATACCTACATTTATTTAGTATAAAAGTAAGTCAACATGTGGTTTTATTATCGATTATTCAGAAGCAATAGACTGAGCCTCTTTTTTATTTTTTCTCATAAGTTATTTCGTAAATCTCATTCAAGATGAAAAAAAAAATTTAGTTTAAAATTAATGTTAATTATAATTGGGAAAACTTTATTTAAAGTTTAATTGATATGGGATTTAAATAAATATAATGCAGGTCAAAAATAACGTAACACATTTTATTTAGTATAAAAATTAAGCCAATATAATGTAATTTTATACTGTACAAGTATTTATTTACGTTTTGCCATCGTAGTTGCCATTCATTCAGAATAGTGGATTTTAAATGTTCGAAAGTCGGATGGCTTAACTACCTTAATATCAACTACTTCTAGACAAGAATCGTGTGCAGTATTATCTTCTTTTTCACTCCCAGCTATTCCAACATGGCTTGCATGGCTTGGGACGTGGAATAATATAATTTTATAGCCCTTCCAGATCCTCATGTCTTCCTTGTAGTTCACCCAATAGAATCGTTCTCGCAGCTTCCTCCCAAGTTGGTAGTTGCTATTCATTCAGAATAGTGGATTTTAAATATATTTGGTAGTCGGATGGTTTAACTATCGTAACAATAACTACTTATATATAACTACTAACTACTAATAATTCTTTTTCTCAATTCTTTGCACTATAATTTGCATCCCACGTATTGTAATATTTTCCTTTGAATTTCGTTTCCTATTGTCCCATGGCTTGAGACGTAATGTTATAGCCCTTCCAGATCCTCATGTATATCCCTTTTCCTTGTAGTCAACCCAATAGAACCTTTCTCTTAGCTTCCTCTCAAGTTGGTAGTTTCCATTCATTAAGAATAGTGGATTTTAAACATGTTTCGTACTCGGATGGTTTAACTACTGTAACATCATAAATAAATTGTATACCAACACATAATGGCCAAACTTCAACAGACTTTAATATTCATAAACCTCATCAGAAGAAAATATTTTTTGATCCAAAGTTTTTTTTTCGTTATTAGAATAAATTACCTGGAATTTCTTAATTCATTACAACATTGAATAAAAGATGCAAAGTGTTTATACATACTATGATAGATAAATCTTCATTTAAAATTATGTGATAGATCTGCTTGCTTGTAGGATCTAGACTGATAAACTCAATTTCTTTTATTGATATAACCAATAAAGTAGTAATGCTGAAATTTTGTTTTTGATTTGTGCAATAAGGTCCATTATTTCCATTATTTGATGCTGTTATTGCTCTACAAAATGTTGATCTCTATCAAGGGATGTTTATGTGTATAATATTACTATTTATGTGTATAATAATACTGTATGATCGAAAAAACACGGCGTCCAGTTGGCTTGGAATGACATCTCGATGACATTCTCCATATCATTTTACATATAAAATGACAGCAATCTTCATTTCATAGGCATCGCTGACGCTGTTTTTTATTCAATCAAATTGTACTTACGGGTATAATATTCATTTAATGGTTCCTGTTTTAGTTGCTGGTGTTCATATTTTGGTTTTTTATTCTGTTGTTGCTCTACAAAATGTTAATATTTATGTGTATAACATTACTCTTTCTGTGTATAATAATATATACTTATGTGTATAATATTCATTTAATGGTGCCCTTCTTGCTTGTTGCTGTTGTTGCAATTCAGAATTTAAATTAACCTGAGGCAGTAGGTAGAGCTTCATCCTCCAACATTTTCCTATGTAAATACTGCAAGTGGACAGTATTTCTGATGACAATTTTATCATAAACTTTAACATCTTGTTCTTTAAAACGAAACTGCCATACCTTATCTGTAGATTTCAAAGCAATATCTAAATGCTTTTGACCATCGCTGTAATCTAATTCTTGTTTGAAAATCAATACCTAATATCATCCTAATATTATCCTGATGATTTTGATTTTTGACAGATTATTAAAATACAGCACTTACATATTTCTTGAAAGTACCTACAATTTTATGTATTTCCTACTTTAACTTGTTTAAAAAAATGCCAACAATTTGTGCATGTCTGTCAAACTTTAAAATCATTAAAAATAAATTTTATTCAGGTTGTAACTTTATAAAAAGGATTGTAAAAGTATACTTTGTAACATGTATGTCAATAATCTTACGAAAAATGTTTACTACACTTTTGATTGACTCTAATTTTTACATATAATACAAATAATACAGTACTGAATTATATTATGTATTTTACAGGCTTTGCCTTTGCTCTTTATTTTTCCATCAGCTATTCAATCAACTTCGCACCACATACACTTTAACCATTGTTAAATAATAAATAAAGCACAAAATATTGATAAACAATAATTATTTTATATTCTAAAAAATAAAAAAACTTTTTTTGGGTAATGTTTGGTTATATTTATTTTTATTCTCTTATCTACGGTTACTTTTAATTTTTTAGATTTATGCGTTTTTAGCGCCACTGTGGTCATTTGGCGAACCCTTATTCTTCCCATTTTGTGACCACTTTTTCAATAAAAGTCCCATAAGAGTTATTTCTCCTTACCTCTACACTCCATACACTAGTGGTAGATTTTCCAATTCGTTAGTTTTTGAGTGTACATTTTCCTATACCTAAAATAAATCGTTTTTAAGTTATTTAAGATTTAGTTTGAAAACGTATATTTCTCTTGATTTTATCTAGCTTCCTTTGACACTAATTGTCAAACAGTCAAACAATTTATTCCCAATCTGTCAGAAAAGGAATTATTTGAATTTCCTATATTATAAATACTGATTGCTTAAGAGTTTAAAAAGTGTATTTATAAAAATATATCTCGTATTTTCGCTCTTTAGTGATATCTAATAGCAAAGTTGATAATATTATTAATAAAATACCGTATGATCGAAAAAAGAAACAGCGCAAAGTTGGCTATAACACAGTGGCGTAACTACCGACGTGCCGTATGTGCGAAGCACACGGGCCCGGTCCCTCGGCATATCTATCACATGCTATCGCGAATCAAGCAGAATCGGGCGATCCCGAACTAAGTTCTTATCTATCACATGTCTTCTTCTCTTAACTACTTAACTAGCACACGCTATCGCGAAAATAACTTATTACTTATTACTTTACACTTGTTCTTGTGCAATTTTGTAGCTGTGTTTTCCTTTTTATTTTGCAAAATAAAAATAACTGGAAATATGTGATTTTTCATTAGCAGCATTAAATTTAACAAAAAGGAAATTTGCTGTATTGTCACTGGATTTCTGTACCATGGAATAGAAATAGAACTAAGCTAGTTGTAGCATCAAAAAGAGCATGAAAAATTATACTGACCAAACTAGTTAACTCAAAATCACAAAAACTCTAGTTACCTAATGGTTGTATTATAAGGGGACGATAAGACAGCTGAATTACGAGAGGTGCCAGAAACTGCCACTTTTTTAAAATCACCCTGTAGCTCAGTAACTAAGAGGGCCATGACAAATGCTATTAGGGCATCTCTCATTTTGTCAAAAAGTAGCCGACTATTGTGAAAACCTATTCATAAGGGCGATCATCAACAAAACACATGAAAATGGGATACCCTGTAGGTACAAGTTATTCCATTCGTGAAAAAATATCTTATTATCGCACCCTGCATACGAAGGGCATAAAAAAATTGCTATAGCACTTAAATTCAATTTGTCCTTGCTTCAAACAATATCGCGATTACCTGTGCTGGTTATGACGGCAATTCCCAATACTTCTTTCTTAACATGTTCATGTTCCTATTTACATTGTTTATTTTAATTTAGTTAATTTTGTTGTTGTTTTTTGTTTTGTTTTTATTTATTTTTTTATTTATTTGATATTTTATATGTTTTGGGTTACATATTTATGACCGCAGCTGTCAATTCCATGACAGCTGCGGTCATTATTATATGACAATCGGACAATTTTATTTTTGACATAGATAGCCACATGTCTTCTCTTTATGGCACAGCGGCTGTGGTAATCACTAAATTTGACGTTTAGGCTATACACATATTTTTGACAGACAGTTTTTTTCGTCAAAAAATTTTAAATAATTTTTTTCTTAAAAACGGTTAATGTTAGGTATAGAGTGTTTAATATCAAAATTCATAAAATTTTACAGAGAATTTAAGTATGTAATAAAAAATTGGGGCACCCATTTAAAATAAGAAAGTTGCTGTCAACTTCCGGTATTTCCGGAAGTGCCGCCATATTGAAAATATTTTTAATCGTTAGATCTCGTTGTGAAACAATGATATGCAAAAAATCTCCGATCTAGATAATGTAGTTCTTTAGAAACTTTTAATGCACGCTCAGCCTGGAACCTCACCCTGTATATATACCATACCAAAGATATGTTTTTTCTTATGGAACACCCGGTATTTTATTTCATTTTTTGATTCTTGGGCATAAAATAAGGCATTTATTATAAGGGTTTAATATGTTTAAAAGCTTGGGTTTTTGAGATATTTAAAGATATTTAAATATGCATGCTATAATAATAAAGTTTATCAACACCTCGTACATTACTTTTCAGAATTAACTCTTGTGCTGACTTTCAAGCCAGAGAAATATACTTTACTAATATACTTGATTGCTTCCTTAAATGTATACAGGGGTATCAAAAATTGTTGGTCTATTTTAAATATTTATTTTACATAAAAATTTCGTTATTTCAAATGCAGCACTCTGTATTTTTTTAAATAAGTCGAAGCAGATTTAAATGCTCTTTCAAACTATATTAGGGTTTCCTATACCTATTTGGCTCAGATTTTGAATAAAGAGCGATTTTTCAATAAAATTGTAATCAAGATGGCTGGTGTCGCCATGGCAATTTTCTAGTGACACTTAGTAGCTATTTTCAAAATCGACATTAGTTTATGGACTTTATTTAAATTTAAAGCAGGTCATTTTTATTTAATTTATCTAAAATGAGGTTATTAAAGTAAGTATTTATTATTTTATCAAGAAAAATGAAGCAGTATCTGCTGACGGAAGGAATGGATATGTTACTAGTGATTTTATTTTGTGAGGACAATTGCTTGTTATATTCTTTAGTCATTGGATTATACCAAAAAAAATTTTAGTCACAATAATTATGTGAAATTTTAATATTCTTTGATAGTAAAAAAATCACTTTACGGTCACTGATTAGGTTGATACGATTCCATATGTTCTCTAGTTAACCATAAATCAAATAAAGAGTCTTTCTTTAAGTATTTGGTACCCTAACAATGATTTTGAAATAACAATAAAGTAAAAATCCAATAAAAAATAAAGCTAAATTTTTCCTTCTTCGAGGTGACGGTAGCTTGTTTCCCGGAAGATTGTAATCTTCAATTTACTTCAAGGTTATCTGTTTGAACAGCGAAGTGCAATACTTCGCTGCGATGATATCGAGACTCGTTTAACCTAAACAAAAGATCCGAAACTTTCTTAAATTAAGTTCAGTTTCCATTACAGCCGGTGGCAAGAAGCTAAACGGAAGGAAAACGATGCCGGAACAGGTTGAGGATAGAGTTGCAGACTTTCCCCTTTTATGGAATAACCAAGAAGTTAATTAGACCTTGTACAAATAGTGCAAAGTCTGAAATGTGAAGAAAACTATTTTATTAGAGATTTCTTAACTAAACCTTGATAACTTGGAATCACTAATAATGTTTATGCCAAAGACATCTAAATAGGTAGACAGAACACTCCGTTCATAAAACTCAATTTTTTAGAATCATACATGGTTTGACACTTTTATGAGAGTTGAAATGAGATGGTTACATAAATATGACAACACGGCTGAGTTTCGTATATCTTTCTGTCATTTGGCTCTATCAGTGGCGTGACGGTGGCGTGATGTTTTTTTATCAAAAATTGTTGAATTTTATCGAAAATTGATGGGGATTGCCTCAGACCAATTTTTCATTATAACTAGTTTTGCCTGAGGTCTAACTGAGGGTAACTCTAATTTCACAATTGGAACCGCCAACAAATAAGAAAATATACGTATTTTTGTAATAATCTACTTACAACTAAAGGTATCTAAATACGCTACTGTACCTAAGCATGGCGAAAGGTAAAAAAACGTAATGACAGTTTTACCGTCGAAATATCAATTCCGGGTTAGAATAGTCCACCTTTTTACAAACTATGCACTGGCGAACCATTGTAGATAGTTAAAAACTACTTTAAATAGTTTTCTTTGCAATAAACACTAATAATTATTAGAAAGTTGTTCAAAAGCTACAAAAACTTTCAACTACCTACCGAAGAAAAGTCACAACCGCGCGCTGTCAATAAATATAAGTTGAATGAATACAAATAAAAACGTCAATTATCAGCGTAATTCCTACAGATTTCGACAATTTCGTAATAAAGATGAATCTGCTAGTTGTCATTGTAATTTCCCTAATATAATTTAATTACAAAACTAAAAATAATTTCAAAGATATAATCCTGGCACAATCTATGTATATTAATTAATACAAGTTATACACCACAAAACATCCCCCTTTAGAACTTTTTCTTTAATGGCCATAAGCGGGAGTAAAAGCCCAACCGCCCGAACAAACACTAGAGGCGCCACCGGTCATCAAATTGTGTAAAAATTGCGAAAATTTAATCATCTAATTTTGACACAAGGGGTCGCGCTTAACTTTTTCAATTTTAATTCAATATTCATTGTTTCCAAACTATATTATTAGACTTTGTTGTATTTTGTGAATGTATAAATGTTTTCTTAGTATAAAGTTGCATTATAGTAATTTAAATTATATTACATACATATTTAAGATTCAAATATTATGACATATATGTCAGTTGCCATGTAAAATGTCATCTTGATAACAAAAAGTTAGTTATTGTCAAAAGTAGTTAAAATCATGTTAAAATATTAAAATTTACAAGTTATAATTAGATATATTATATTATTTTAACAACAAACACATAATAGTACAGCGTAATGTTGATATGCAGGTCCAAAACAAAAAGTGCCTTTATATTTTTCAGTTTTCGTTGTCAACCGCGGAAGTTTCAGTGATTTTAGTGTTGTCGGATATTTTTATTTGTGAAATAGAAATATTGCGTTTGGATTGCAAAACTAAAAGTGGAAGTTTTATTGCAATGTACGTAAGCGTTTGTCCATTTTATATTTTACTTTTTTCTTATCTACGACAAATATACATATATTGAAATTTTATAATTCGTTTTATTTAAAAAATGTTAGAAAACAAGCTTGTAATCCTGTAATTGACATAATTGTTATGTAATATATTCCATTTAAATGTAATATATTACTTTATAATTAAAAAAATGTAAATTTAAAAAATATATTAAAACTATATACAGGGTATTAATTGAAATTTTTTGAGTGCGAACAAACACGAGAGGCCGCTTTATTATTTATTTTCATTTCTTAACATGATAGACGAAGTTCTAAAGGGGGATATTTTGTGTTATACACCTATAGAAATATTTAGTTTAACATTTCTATAGGAACCCAAAAAACATTAATAACAATAATAACAATTGGAACTCGAACCGTATATTCTATCACATACCGCGTAAATCTGTCATCATCGATTTTTGCGGAACACGGTTCGTGATCGCGATAAAATGTAAATTGTTTTGTCTCCCTTTATTTAGATGTCTTTGGTTTATGCCTTTGTGGTACATTATTGCTTCATTCGCGAAAAAAAAACAATGTGTGCACTATCTGCGCAGATTTGAAGTCAAACTTCTAAAGTTCTTACAACAGAAGGATATACCATATTTTTTATGAATGCTTTATATAAACTTAGCTCTAGCTTTATAATTTTATAATGTTACCTTTTCTTATTTTGAGATGTGTCAACATAGATTTTCCATGAAATTTAGAAAAATGAAAAAGCCGTTGTCATTTAAAATTTGAACAATTCAGAAGAAGCTACATCCGAATTATGTTAGACATATTTGAAACAGGGAGAATAGTAAATATTTTTCTTGATATTTATTGTTATTTCCATTTTATTACATATTTATTTAATTAAAAAACTTAATGTTAAAATCAAAAACAAACTCCAAACCACTGTCACTTGATTTTAACATTAAGTTTTTTACCATGGGCCACCACTTTATGAAAATGAACAAAGTGGCCATTAAACCAAAATTATAATACTACTACATCTACAGGGTTGTTCACCACATACAACACGGAGTATTGTAGCTAAACGATTATATTTTTACAAATTGTAAGTTTTGGGTTCGTTGAATGACTATTAGAGCTACAATTTAAAAATATGTTTACAAGAAACAGAATGTCCCAAATAAATAAAAAATAAGTTGTATTTTTTTAAATGGAACAACCTGTATATTATTACATTTTTAGTTTCTACGATTAAAATAAAGGTTTATTACACTTAAACCTCACCGTTTTTGAAATATTGTTACTTTTGTGAAATTGCAGTCAAAATTTTAAGGCTTCATTTCTCCAAGGGTATGAAAGTTTTTAATACTAAATATTTACTGAAATTTATTTATTGATCAATTATTGTGTTGCAAAAATAAAAATTATAATACCTTATGCAGAGTGTCTAAAATTTTATTTTAAATAATTACTAGCTTTAAACGGCAATAACTTGTTTAATTTAAATGGAACACCCTGTATATTTTATGAGACTCAGATGCACAATTTAATTGTCTATCAAATTGTATTATACCATTTTTTACCTATCTCTTCAAGTTTCCGTAGAAAATGCATTTTCTTGTAATTTAGAACTCATTTATCAATATACCCATGGAATACTGACATTTTAAATTATTTTTAAAGATGTACCAAATTTTTAAAGAGTACAGGTATTAATATTGTCGATATAGTTTGTTTATTTCATTAAGAAATAAAAAAACTGTTTAAATATTTGTTAAAGAGGACCAATTATATTATGATTCCAGTATTCAAACTACATTAATTGACTGTTTGCGTCGATTAATAATAATTGCTCCAAATACTAAAAAACTGAATTTTGTATGTGTATTAGACAGTGGGGTAAAAACTAACACCTTAAAAATGATATTTCATTTTTTAACAAATGCTTATTTATAACAAGAGAGACATTCATTTCATAACTTATTATTATATTGACTTCTGATTCAAATCCACATTTATTTAGAATAATTTATTAACCAACATAATTAAGTATTTAATTAATTAGTATTTGGGCGGAAACAATGGTGGTATATTTAATTAACGGTATACTCTTTTATAACGATTTAAATAATTTTCTTTTTGCATACAAATGGGCTAGTAATATTATCATTTTGCTAAAACCAATAATATTACTAGCCTGTACATTTTGTAGATTTGGAATATTGATAAATGAGGTCTAAATTATAAGAAAATGCATTTTCTACGAAAACTTGAAGGGATAACTAAAAAGGGGTATAATACAATTTTATAGACAATTAAATTGTGCATCTGATTTTCCTAAAATATACAGGGCGTTCCATTTAAATTAAACAAGTTATTGCCGTTTAAAGCTAGAAATAATTTAAAATAAATTTTTACACACTCTGTATGAGGTAGTATTATTTTTATTATTGCAAGAAAATATCTGATCAATAAATAGACTTCAGTAAATATTTAGTATTAAAACTTACTTAATACTCTTGGAGAAAAGAAGCCTTAAAATTTTTACTGCAATTTCTCAGAATTGAAAATACTTCAAAAACGGTAAGGTTTAAGTGTAATAAATCTTAATCAAATTTACCTTTATTTTAATCGTAGAAACTAGAAATGTAATAATATACAGGGTGTTCCATTTAAAAAAATACAACTTTGATATTTTTTATTTATTTGGGACACTCTGTATCTTGTAAAAATAGTTTTAAATTGTAGCTCTAATAGTCCTTCAACGAACCCAAAACTTACAATTTGTAAATATCTAATCATTATTAGCTACAATACTCTGTGTCATATATGGTAAACAACCCTGTATATCTCTGACTACTACTAACTGTTACTAACCAACAATTTATTTTGTATAGTCTGTGGTCTGTTTTTGTTTAAATGTTTTGTTCATTATTCATGTTGGGGATTTATTTTAAAATTAATGTTAATCGTTCGGCAACCAGTAGGCTCATAGAATATGTATTTCTTTTGCATAATCAAAAGTATCACTCTAAATTTTACATAACCAAATTGTCACTGTAAATCGCTATCCTTTTTAAACCGATGTCACTTGTCATGTCATTATTCAATTCATTATTCGAATTCTCAGAATGTTGTTAACAAAAGTTTCATCTTAAAATAAAAGTTTAATCAATCACGATTGTTTATCTCCATCATTTACCGGATTAATAATACAGAAATTACAGCTCAATTACAAACAATTCATTATTTAGTGATTTACAATAATTTTATTAAATTATACGAATAGTCTCGTTGATTATTGGTTTGAAATAAATCTGACAGTGTCCTCCAATGAACATGGGAGTTACTGAGTTACTAACTCTAAATTCTAATTCTAAGCTGGCAAATGAGCTAGATGCTTTACCTAGACCGTTATTCAGAAGCTATGTTCAGAAGCCACAAACCTATCGATGAAAATATGCATGATATCAAGTTTGGTACAGTATCTAGTTTATTATAGTTATTTTCTTAGCCTTTTTTAGCCTGACTTTTTTTAAACGGTAAGAATAAATGAAATCCCAATTCTGATACTGGTTTATTCATAACACAACATCTAATTTTTCACATTGTTCCTAGGCAAAAACCACGAAAAGTTCCACACTGATTCTTGTTCCAGAAACAAACTGACTAGAGTAAGGATACTAACAGAGAAGCACAGCACAGCACAAGCATTCAAAATGGCGCGGAGGTAGTCGTTTTCGGACCATTTGCCGAAGAACTGGATGAGCTTGGTTTTGACAGTTGCCGAGTGGCGTTCAGCTTGACATCTAAAATGGAAAAAAGTTATATAGAGGGCCACAGATAAACTAGGTGGTCTAACATTGATATTTTCACTAATTATTTTAACTTTAAGTATGATTTCAGATGCAAAAATTATTGGCTTATCTTAAAGTCAATTTTTTCCATCTGAATGTATTTTTATAACTTGCAAAATATTAATAATAACTACCCATTTATCGAGGTAATATCATTTCTATACCGGGTGAGTCTTAAATAAGTGCAAATATTTTCAGGGCAAAAACAGACTTTCTTTTTACCGTTTTCAAATAAGTTCAAAATAACCGAGTTATTTTACTTTGAAAATTTCCCAAAAAATGATTTTTTGTTTAAATTTAAAAAAAATACTAGATCTCCCCTGGGTTTTCTTTCTTGTAAATTTAATCTGCTACCTATGTTGCCATATTATCAAGAAATTATGTTTTTTGACTAAAAACTAAGAAATATCCAATTTTTTTTTCAAAAAACTACAAATTTTACAAAATCGTATTTCTGGGGTTGAAATATATTACCCCTAAAAAGATTAACACTTATTTAAGACTCGCATTGTATAATGTTTCATTCTAAACACTCCAAAACAAATTCTTGAAAAATCAGCAAGCCTACACTATAGTAAATTATACAAGGTGTTTCGAAACAACATGTGCCATCTCTCGTGAGGAAATTCCTCATGCAAAAATAATCAGATTTATTAAAATAAAATTTAATAGAGTGTGAGTTTTAAAAAGTGCAAATTTTTTAGGGGTAGTACGATTATGATTTTTTTTCGCGAATTTTTTTTTGAAAATTTGTATTTTTTGAAAAAAATTGTGGATTTTTTTTTAATTTTAAGATAAATAAAATAATTTCTTAATAATATGGCAACATATGTCAAACCAAACCAAACCCCAAAAAAATACAGTAGTTCCTAAAATGTAAACAAAAAATATGTAATTTTTTTAATTTTGGTGAAAAATCTGCCCACGAGATATGACACATGTTTTTTGAAACACCCTCTATAAACCAGATGTTCAACAAGAAGCAATTTCTTCTAATTTATAAGATTCCTATCTTCTTAGATAGGAAGAAGTTTTTAGTTTATAAGATAACTAGCGTGTACCAGCGACTTCGTTCGCGTCGAATTAATCAATAATGGTGATGATAAAGCAAAGCAAGAATTTTTCATTAACATTCAAACTGGATAAAATTTTCTCACATTTATGTCAGCATGAGAAAAAACAATATGGCGATATTATTATATAACTTGATAATATTTGAGGGGTGGTTTCATCTTGTTGGAATTTGACTTTCGAAAAATCCGTTTGCCAAAAATAAGTTTTTTTACGTCAAGCAGTTTAAGCAGGATCGTGGTTAATCAATTACCCAACTTTTTGGAACACCCTGTATGATTTTTTAAAAAATTTCAAAATATGTAAAAAAACCAAATAAATTTTGCTTGTCCAAGAGTTTTCCCGAAAGACTAACCGTTTTTTAAATAACAAATATTGTAATATTTGAGGAGCGTCTTCACCCTCCTGGAATTTGAGATTCGAGAAACCCCTCCTTATCGAAGCTCTACAAACCACAGTCAATCCGTTTGCCAAAAATCAGCTTTAAACGTCAAGCAGTTTAAGCAGAATCGTGATTACTCAATGGTCATATTTTATGAAACACCCTGTATAAATTTATAAAAAATCTTAAAATATGTAAAACAACAAAATAAAATATACGTGTTTAAGAGTTTTTCCGAAAAACTAACCGGTTTTTAAATAAAAAATATTTTAATATTTGAGGGATAGTTTCACCCCCTTAGAATTCGAGTTTCGAAAAATCCCTTCTTATCGAACCTCTACACCCTACAGTCAATCTGTTTTCCAAAAATCAACATTTTACGTCAAGCGCTTTAAGCAGGATCGTGATTAATCAATGGCCAGATTTTTCGAAACACCCTCTATACATTTTTAAAAAATCTTAAAGTATGTAAAAAAACAAAATAAAATATTCGTGTTTAAGCGTTTTTTCGGAAACTAGACCGTTTTTTAAATAAAAAATATTGTAATATTTGAGGGGTGGTTTCACCCTCTTGGAACTGGAATTTCGAAAAATCCCTTCTTATCGAACCTCTACACCCTAGAATCAACCTGTATGCAAAAACTGAGCTTCTTACGTTGAGTGGTTTGAGCAGGATCGTGATTAATCAGTATGTCAGTCACTTAAGGATTTTATATATTATATTAGTATAGATACATAGTATGCAAAAAGACATGTAAAAAAATTACCTCAAAAAACTATTAGCATGCTTCAAGATACTCCTACAAGTATCTTTGGGGGAATTCACAATATCATTTTTACCAGCCACAAATTCTATATTACTATCTTCTCTTAAAATTGTCTGTACAATAGGAACATCATCCACGTTTTTTGCATGGTCCTTTATAGATTCATCAGATGCTATCTCCTTGATCTTCTTCAATTCCATACCTAAACTATAATAAAACGATCATATTACAATTTTATTTCGATTTCAACTTTAGCTTAAACAATAAAAATGATGAAATATTGTTGCTAACTTGCGGTAGAACTTACTCTAATCTACTTGGTCTGGTAGTCTTTGGTAAGTGAGCTCTAAATGACAGATCTGATATTCTTCTATTTAGCTTGATAGCCTGGTCTTGTTGAAGCGAATTCACCGAATCAACACTAGCTCTTCTTTTGCAGATAATTTTCTTGTTTATTCCAGCTAAACCTTTTTGGTTTTGGATTGGCAAAGGCTGGATTGGCTCTTGAAGGACCCTCCTATCCAACAAAAAAATGTCGATTATTTTATTTACAACCACATATAATAAGTAAGTAGTAATACTGACATTACTGACTTTTAAAAATTTGAAAGTGTCGAATTCTCTACATTTCTTATAATTAAGCAAAATATTCTTGTAATATCTTAAAATCTATATTAAAAATACTTATCTAACATCAACAAAAATAAAAAAGAAGATTAACAATAATAATTGAAGATTTTAATACATTTATTTGTTGAAATTATTGGTCAAATTTGACTTATTGTACGCGTTAATCAATATTGTTAAGGGGCCGCACTGATGATGTGTTTCACTCATTGATGTCTCACTGCTGCAAAAACTTAACTCCTGGCTTGTGCCAGGTCTTCTAATGTCAACGAAAGAAGGTTAAGAGTTTGAATTGCTACAGGAAGATGATGACAACGATGTCGTTAAAGATATCATATTTGCGGTTTTAGTTTGGTTGACTACAGATGCATCCACATAACCCTCAGCCACAGCACTGGATTTCCATCCCCCTCGACGCTTCAGCTGTAAAATATCAGCGCTATTTACCAGCAACGTAGCCGCTGTTCATCTAAAAGCATGACCTGTGTAGGTTTTCGCATTGGGAAGTTGCAAGAAGCAATTTTGTTCGAAAATTTAGATATAGAATTGTATCCAAAGGGTTGATTTCGAACTTTTCCTAATCGATATTGAACAAAAAATCTCTCATTTTCAATATATTTTCTTAACTGTATAAATTCTTTCACAATTTCTATCCAACTTGTGTTAGTTATCAGAAATGGTCTGCTCTTATAAGTTTTTGTATCGGGAATTTCTATGCAATTTTTTTTTCTAAAATATCAATATGCGTAATTTTCATCTTCAGTATCTCATCACTTAGACGTGCCCCAGACACACCTACTATAAGCGCAACCTAAAACAATGAAACAAAATATTTAAAAATAGAAAAAAAGCCTTACTTTAATAGGAAGGAATTCTTGAGGTGCTTTCGTGAGAAAATTCTCCAAGTTTTGCCTGGTAAAAAGGCCAGACTTCTTTGGCTTCAAACCTACATTCTGGCGCTTTAAAAAAGCGACAAGTTTGTGATATTTTGATATGTCAGTCTTTTCCCTTAATTCTAGCATTGTCCGTATCATGCTGTACGTAGCCCAAAGAGTAGATGGCTTTTTCTGCCTTGCCATGTCGCTAAAATATGCCAACAAGACAGTCCGAAGCAATATTCTTAGCATTTATTTCGGCACACCATTTTTCGTATACTTTCAATGCTATTTCATATCGCCCCCTACTTTTCTCTGGAAGTAAACTGGCTTCTGCTCTGTTTGCAGCTTCTGTACGTTCTGGTGAAGTACCAATATTAAAGTACTCTTCATTATCAGAACTTTCCGACAACATTCTGGCTTTCTATGTTATATACATTCGAAATTATAATTATATTAAATTCGAGTCACTTAGTTGTTTGTTTTGCTGTTGAAGGTTGGCGCCATAACAACCACTGGTACCGGTAACTATAGATATGGAAATGCCAAAACAGAAAACGACAAATTTTCGCATCTTTTTTTTTCAAAATAAAATACTGTCCCTATTTATTATTAATAATGTGGTTGTAAATAAAATAGTATACAAACCTCGGAGGAAAGTTTTCATTATTGTTTCGAGATTTAGTTAATCTCGACGCTACCGCGTCTCGATTAACAATATCAATCTCTCGACAGTAATGAAACACTTCTCTCCTTGGTAAGTAATATACTATTTATTTAATTTTTTTTGTCTTTATTTTATTAATCATTCTATTACTTGGTGTATTGAAGCTGTCTCCTTGCTGAATCTCGTTGCTGCTTCAACGCCTGGACGTGTGTCAGCATCAACTGGACTGATTCTGTCAGCCTTTCTTCATGCTGTACTGCGCCGTATCTTTCAGCCGAAATAGACACTAAGGATGCAGCTTTCATTAATGTATCAACCTAGAATGTATCAGACTTCAGTACATAAAATTCTTAAGAATTCATAAATAGTTTCGATAAAAGCTATAAATAAAAACATACCCATGCCGTACCTGAGCAAAAAGCATGGATAAGAGTTCGGCCCTTTCAAAATCGGTACAAAATGGTTGAAGGAAAGTCAGTTTTTCTCTCAATTTGTCAACTTCGAGGTTGAAATTGGTCTCAGTTTGATCCCTGGTTCTTCTTTGCCTTTCACATCTGTCTTTGATGGTTGCTGAATCGATGGTGAAAGCCAAGGCCAAAGTGGTGAACTTTTGTTCTAAGTTCTCTTCACTCAAACGGTCTCTAAAGATATAAAAAACTTAGTTAAGTAAAGGGTATAGCCGGATTAATATGGGAAATCTGCCCCGCGGCTTTTTTTGAGCCGCACTCAGCGGATCGATTTAGTGTCGAACCAAAATAATTCACCTAAATTTTTAGCTCTTTAACTCAAACGGTTTTCGAGATTTTCAAAAACAACTGTTTTTTCAATTTTATTTTTATTTTTATAGTAAAATTCAAAATCAGGTGCCCGGTGGCGTAGAGGTACAGGCTCTCGTCTATACCAATCTCAAGGTAGTGGGTTCGAATCCCACACCCGGCATTTCATCAGCCGACTATTTTTATTAAAATGAAAGTAGTTTGGGTACCTAGGTCGACTCAGCCTTAAATGAGTACTTGGGATTCACAATCCTGAGGTAATAATAGGCGGTTGAAGCGTAGTGCCAGCCACAATACCTTTTTTGTATACCGAACGGCTCTAGTATGGCAAGCTGTACCTTGCTACTCCCAAGGCGTTAAACGCTATATACGGGAGCTATGATTATTATTATAAATTCAAAATCAATTAATGATGATTTTTTTTTCTAATTCTTAGAAGTCTAAGACATGAAAAAAAATATGATCATGATTCTTAAGTGAAAAGCCGATTTTTAGCGGCGGAAAGAAAATTAAAATCTTCATTTTTTGACCTTCGTGAAATATGTCACTCACTATAAATCGTCAGAAAATGTCTTTTATACTCCTTTACACACAGAATTTTTTGTTTCGATAAAAGTGGGGGAACAATATGAAAAAAATTATGGGGCTGATTTTTTTATAATAATCTTTATGTTTATTTCTGACAAGGATTTATTTTTAACGAAAAAATATTTCCTAACGCACTTTGTTAAACTAAACAAAAATATGAGTTAACTATAACTTATAACAGAAGATTTTAGAAAAAGAAATGAATTTTTATTTTTTTTTCATATTGTTCCACCACTTCAAAAACTTCTAAAAAATTCCTGAGTGTAAAGAAGTATAAAAGATATTTTCTGACGATTTTTAGTGAGTGACATATTTCAGGAAGGTTAAAAAAATAAAGATTTTAATTTTCTTTCATCCGCTGAAAATCGGTTTTTCGTTTAAGAATCATGATCATATTATTTTTTGGCTGTACTTAAACTGCCGTTAAACGGTAGCTTACTAAAATGCCGTTAATAGGTATGACGTCGTTGATGTGACGCACTTGACGGCTTTATGAAATATAGGAATTTTATAAGGACTAACCAACGCTATCCACCCCTCCAAATAACCAACTTAACCAACGCAACTAGCCTCGACCCTGATAAAAAATATAAAAAACAAATATAAATTAGTAAAAATCAACCAACCCCACCAAATAATCAACTAACCAATGAATTAACACCCTCCAAATAACCACGCTAACCAACCCGCCAAATAACTAAACCAATCCAACGAAAAAGAGTGAAACCAATGCAATAAGATCACGCTATAAGCAAAAAAAATATAAAAATGTCTTGGTCGGCGTGAGATTTGAACCACGGACCATTCGCTTACGAAGCGATAGCCTCAACCACTGACCCACAGATGCTTTTGCAAAATGCTTTAGGTTAGGCATTACTTTCCGCCGGCATGAACGACGTCACAATATCTATTAACGGCATTTTAGTAGGCTACCGTTTAACGGCTGTTTAAGTACATCGTTATTTTTTCATGTCTTAGACTTCTAAGAATTAGAAAAAAAATCATCATTAATTAATTTTGAATTTTACTATAAAAATAAAAATAAAATTGAAAAACAGTTTTTTTTTGAAAATCTCGAAAACCGTTTGAGTTAAAGAGCTAAAAATTTAGGTGAATTATTTTGATTCGACATCAAATCGATCCCTTGAGTGCGAGTCAAAAACGCAGGGGGCAGATTTCCCATATTAATCCGGCTATACCCTTTATATACAGTTTGCTAAAAAAATCAACTACAATAAATAAAAAAAATATAACATTTAAAAAAAACTTGACCAAAAATTTTCCGTCGCACTTTTTTTGCATCTGAGTGTATATGTTGTTGGTTATGAAACATTCTACAAATAGAACATCAAGACAAACCGATATTTTGGTACTTAGAACATTATTTACTTCAAGCCTTCAATTTATTGATGATAGCTAACATGTTGAGGATGAAGTGAGTACCTTGGTGTGTCTCCATGGAGTCCCATTTTCTCCAAAACCGAGTTGGGTAGACTAGGAAAAGCACGGGCATCTTCTAAGTACGCTGAACGTGCTGCTCCATCAGAGTTCGATCTGCCTCTTGTAAAGTTACTCTGAAAATTAGAAAAAAATTACTTATAAAACACTTATAAAACACATTAACAACTAAGTTCATCTATATTGCTATTTTATCTATCTACTACCATTTTAAAGCCATAAACCCAATGAAAAATAGAACAAATATAAAAACAAAATGCGATTTTACTTTACTATATTTATTATTGGAACGAATACATAAGTCGGTCATTTATTTGGTCGGTGCCATCGAGGATGTTCGTAATTGTTTATAATTAAATAGCTTACTGCAAATATTTATTAAATAATCTTCAAGTAAAACGAAACCATTTTGTTTTTTCCTGGTAAAATAAACAAATTGACTTCAACGTGTTTTGTAGTTAGTTAATTCAAATTTGTAATATTTAATATTTATTTTTGTTACAATTTTTCTCTTTGGGTGCTATGGAAACATAATTTTAATAAACAAAATAGTATTTTGTGGTAACTACAGGGTGGTCAGAATTGTGTATGAAAACTTCAGCAGCGTATTCTGCAGATAAAAATAAGTAATAAAGTTCGTATAAATCTATGTCCTAAAATGCTTCATTCAGAGATTTTTATTTCGATTTTTTTCTTCTTCTTTCTTCTCAAACTCTCCTTTTCAGGAGAGAGAGTTGCGTTGCCTAGGCTGCCAGGACCATTCTGGCAAAGTACTTTTCTGCTTTTCTTTTTTTCTTTTTTTTGGGGTGGTCACGTTTTATGAACCTTCACCTATTTATCTTTCTTAACGACTAACAATTATTGAGGCTATTAAACAGGTTGCTACCTTCCTAGGTCACAATAAAGTAGCCATCGCTCATCCATTGCCACTAAAAAGTCACGGACGTCAAAAACGGCTACTTTATAGTGACCGTAACTTAATATACCCTAATAAATGTAATTGCCTCAGATTGCATCGTGTGCTGCTCTGTTTTAGTGTTTTCTTTTACTTGCTTTTAAGCTTTATTAAAATTTTGTAAAATCCCTAAGGTGAATAAAAGAAATTTAGATATTCTAGTACTTTCTACCGAAGAATTAAACAAAAGGAATCACTGCGAGCCGATGCATCAACATCCGAAACAAAAACCACATCTTTTTATAGTCCTACTGATGAACCTTAAATACTCATCATAAATCAGGTAGCTCATCATAAATCAGGTAGTAACTAAGACATTTTTTAAGCTGGTTCTGTAGATGAGTGTAGTGTTAGTTAATCTGAAACTGAATCTCAGAGGAGAACTAATTTGAGAACCAACAACAATATAAAACAAGAGCTAAAAGAGTGGGCGTTAAAATAATCTATACCTCATGTAGCTCTGAATAATATAGAAACACTAATAATAGAAAATGCACAATAAGTAAAAAATAACTTCAAAGGACAAGGCGACAAGTTATAACCAATGGAATGTATAGTCGCCACCGCCGCGATCGCATCGGTGTAGCATAACGCTCCAATTAAGTGGCAATTTGGTGGCGCAGGGAACTTTCTTGGAAAAAATGACTTTATGGTTCCAAAGAATCGTTGACCATGTAGTTTTATACGAACTTTTTTATTTATTTTTATCTGCAGAATACGTTTCCCGAATACAATTCAGACCACCCTGTAGTATACCCATCATTACTACATGTATTGATGTAGGATTACTAAACAATTATTTTAATTGAACTACTCAAGGAAAGTTTTATAATTACACTCAGGAAACAAATTCATAAAATAAATACCTATACATATATAGTGTTTTCTTGAAAAATTTAAATAAACAAACATTAACTTTTAAGCTGGTAGGTACTGTTTATCTAATTCTATGTAATTCTATGTAGAATACGGATAAATAAAAAAACAAAACATGATAGAATACAATAGTAATAAATTATTTTAAATTTGATAATTGCACGAGGCCTTATCTACGTACTACAGTACTATACATTTAACACCCCGTTTTTAAAACACCAAAGTGTCGTTTCCTGGTAATAAAATAATAAATTACGTGCAGTTTGAAAACTTTGACCACAAGCTTTGGCTATAACACGTTTTACATAGTTTAGTAATTAGGTATTTTTATTATCATGTAATGATTATAGTGATAAGGATCCATGGCAACAACTGAACAATCCATTGCATTTTTTTTTAGTTTATCTCCTAATTATTTTATAATAAATCAAAATTAGAAGTATACATTCTACGTCTACGAATGACGTAGTAAGAAAAATGTCAAAACTTTATTCTTGAAAAAAATATATTTTTTTCTATAATAATGATATGTCAAAAAATATACTCTATAGAAAAAGGGACCTTGTTGTACGTATAATTCTGCCAATTTCCAATCCAATCACATGAGAGCTTTGATTTTGATGTCAATATGACTCCTACTTGCGGGGGCGCCACATATTTTTTAACTGGTTTAAAGAGTAATAACATTTCGTCCGTTCCTGTATAAAACTACTGAGTATAGAAAAAATATACATTTACGACATTTTTTACGTAAAAAATGTGTCTCTATAATTTCGTAACTCTCTGGTTGAATTTAGTATGTTATTTCGTAAACTCTTTAATTTACATTTGTTTACGATTGTCGACGATATTTCGAATATAAAAATCGGAAAGTTATTACTAAAGTGCGGTTTATATCGACATAATATAATTAAGTAATAATTTCAATGTATTATTGTAATAACTCACAATTACACGACTTGCTTTCCACGTAATCGAAAAGCGTACAAACAACATTTCTCCGGACAATTAAAAACTTAGTTTAATTGATGTAATAAGACCAATTAGTAAGAGTACTGTAATAAGGACTCAATACTACCATCGATATTAGAAATGAATCAAAAAATCGATCAAAAAAGTGAATCAAAGATTATGTTAGTGCTAATTATTATTTTTATATAAGAATTCTTGCCACTTAACTTCTGATATAGAAATTTAATTCTACGCTGTGTTTGTCATAATGTGGATCAACCTGCTCTCACTACCGGTTTCGGAACCCTACTCCATCATCAGGTGAGCTTGGATAGATCTACAAAATGACAACCACAGCGCCGAGTCGTTAATTCGGACTTCTCGGAAAGTATCGGTTAGATATTAAGTCCCGAACGGGAGATAGTGGCCTGCGTGCAATGATAGTACTTTCGTACCACCGAGGTATAACTATCGATAGTAAAAGGATGGTAAAAGGCTTTTTTTCAGGCAAGCCAAATTATAACATAGAAAACAAATTTCTGGCAGTATAGGTATATAATAAAATTATATAAGAATCCTTGCCACTTAACTGCTGATTAACTGCCACAATTCTACGCTGTGTTTGTCATAATTATGGATCTGCCCAAGCTCACCTGGTGAAGGAGTAGGGCTCCGAAATTGGTAGTGAGCGCAAGTTGATCCACATTATGACAAACACAGCGTAGAATTAAATTTCTATATCAGCAGTTAAGTAGCAAGAATTTTTATATAATATTATTATATCCCTATTAGAAATTTGTTTTCTATTTTATTATTATTTTTTATAGAAAGTGTAAATTTTAGAATTCTCATGTTTCGTTATACAGGGTGTCTCAGAAATAAATGCAAGTAAAAAATGTCTATAGCTCTGTGGCAGATTCGTCTCTTCAAAAAAAGACCTCTGGGTATTTCGCCACTGTAAGAAAATCTACAAAATAAAATAGTGATTTTTTATTACAGTTGACGGTTGGAACCTTTGGTGTTACACAGTAAAATAAGTTTATAATCATCTGCTGATGATGCTAACATGGTTAGCGAAACGCGCGTCCAGTGTAAAAGTAAAAGTGTTTTGGTGTATTGTGGTGATTTAGTGATTTTTTGTAAACACTGCTACGTTAATCCAAGCGGAAACCAGCTTGATGTATAATATATCAATTGTGAGTCATGTTAGTATAGAATAGATAGCATAGTAAAAAAAAAGAGTAGTCGCACTCTCCCAAATATTTTCTGCAAGTTTTACAATCTGTCGAATATCGGCAGATTGCAGAGCGTTTCAGTTGAGTTCCGTCTGTCGACCTGCGAGGTTTGAGCGTTGCGTCCCAGCACAGAGACGGATTGACAAAAAATGAGTGTCTTACTGTGTGCTGCTGTTGGTTGTAGTGCTTTGAGTTTTTTTTTTTTTGAGAGTCATTTGTAATCATGTTTGTGTTCAGGTTAATTTTCTCATGACTGATTGTTACTTAATAATTTGATATTATTTTCATTTAAACCTCAATTTTTTATAGATTTTACTTTTGACAACCATTCCTTGCTTGCTGTTTAACGAACTGCACCATTATTGAACAAAAATTTACTAGTACCAAAAGTACCGAAAAAACTGGAAATCCCGGTTCCTTACAGGCATGGTACCGAAATTACCGGTTCCGAAAAACAGCTCCGGTTCCGGAAACACTATAACGTACCATAACAACTGTGAATCGCCCTATACAGGGTGATTTTTAGGGGTAGTAGATTTTGGCAGCCGAAATATGAGAATTTTTCTGCGCAATTTTTTTTGAAAAAAAAACTGGATTTTTTTTTTAATTTTTGGTTAAAAAACATAATTTCATGATAATATGGTAACTACGGTTCACCGAAAATTCCCGGTTCTTTTGAGATATCAAAGAACCGGTACTCGAAACTCCCGGTTCTTTCGGTACCTTCGGGACTCGGTAACGATAACTAAATATTATTCATTTATTACTTGAGAAAGTAGTGATGCTATTTCTCATTTTGCTTCTTTTCTCTTTTGAAATTTCTGTAATGTTTATTAGCAATTATTGAAGTTTAGATATGTTATTTTATTATTTAGTACAATGTGTTGTTCAATGTAGTAGTTATATCCAATGAAAATCACCCAACCAATATACTACTACAAAACAAACAGATTAATATTAAAATTAAACTTGTTTTAAATTAAAAAAAAGTTGTAGAAAATCTTTGAAATAGATAATAATATAAAAATATGTCATTATATATTTTTTCCGCATTTCTTCTCATCAGAAGATTTTCAGATACAGAAAAATTGTTACTTACACGAAATGTGAAAATATTCTGTTTTCAAGCGAATTTTTACTCGATGATCAATTTTTTTTATTTTATTGCATTGTGAACTCATATTTTCCTAAATACATCTCGGTGAAACTATGGCGAGTGCCACGACTACACTTTTACTTTGCCTAGTTATAAATTACGACTATACAGCTACGTCAGTGGTCACGGGACGCGAGAACAAGGTCATATAAAGTGGCAGAAAAGAACAAAGGATTTGACAAGGAGTAAAGCTACTAGTTTCCTTATACTATGATGTTAGTATAGTTTGTCTGTCTTTAGAAAAAGGGACATTCCAGACTTAAAAATGGTAGACTAATGCTATCCATATCAATTTTCTTCTGTTAATTTCTTCTAAAAAAATAAATTCTATTTGTTATACAAAAAATCCGGTACTCCATTGAAACAAGGCTAATAAACACCCGGTATATCAACCGGCAATCTATTTATTCTAATTTTAATGGATATTAAATAGGTCTCTAGTTGTTTATTAACACTGTGAAAAATACACAGTAAAAGTTGTGCCTTCTTGCTAACAATCTAAAAACATAAATAAACTGTATAATATGCTAATGTTTTCGCTGTACGATTTAAACCTACAAAATTACTTTGAGCGAAAATTGCATTTAAAATAATGTTAATAACGTAAATTAAATTATGTTGTGCATACGTCCATCTAATTAATGAAAGTCTAATAAAAAGTAATTAAAAATAAATTTAATATATTTTTTAATTAATATTAATATATTTTTAATATTAATACTAAATTAAAATCGTGTATTGTCATTTTAGTGAAAATGTTTA